GTTGGGCATAAACTTAGTCGTTGTCTCCAGTGGAACATAAAAGGTGCAATAATTTTGTTTTTCAGCAGCCTTGTTCTCCGTCAGGTGTTGCGTATGGTCCAGATGCACGTGTCATTGAAGTGTCTCGGAGGACGTGTCTCTGTTTTCATTGCTGTTGGCTTGTATTTTTAATATTTCCTCTCCAGCTCTGCAAGTTACAGCAGAACTTCTCCTCTATTGTTTTGCTGTAAGCAGGAGTCCATTTCAAGTTCATATATTTTGATGGTGCATCTGTAACCTGAAAGCTTTGACATTTTACTCCAGTGTGTTAGACCTGGGTGATGGAAGTTGGTGGAAATGGGGATCCTTTAAGAGAAACCCGGTGAGACCCGTCAGTGGGTGTTACTGTGATCACTGCAGATGCAGAGATGGAGAAAGTTTTCTTCTTCAGATGCTGCCCTTGAATCTCTTCTGGGATCTCGTGCTTTGTGGCTGTGTTTGGTGCTCGGTAGAGCAGACAGACCTTTCAGGGAAGAGCAACTGCTTTGTTCGTCTGCATCGTCCCGTTACCGGTTCTCCTGAGTAGGAGTTGAGAGGATTCTTTACTCCCTCCCTGGGGAAACAGACCGACTGTACTGGTCAGACCAAAGACCGGCTAGCACAGCATCCAGTAACAGATGCACGGGGAGGGGACGCAGCTACACTTCGTTTACCGTGGGAGTAATCACAGTCCCTCATCTCCTGCCTCTGCTGTGTGTTCTGTCTGCCTCCTCAAGTGGGGCACTACCACCCTCCTGAGCAGCGACATAGTCCCAATGCTAAATTGCTGTTCTTGAGGTCTGAAACTTCAGTTTGTGTTGCCTTTTTTTTATCTGATTGGCCTAGACTCTCTCCGGTGTATAACACCATTTTGACACTTAAAAAACATGCTGGCTTGGCTTCATCCTTGGTGGAATGGTCAGTATTACACCGTCGGCTTTCTCCTGCGGTGATTTCCTATATTCCTTGTGAGTCAGCGGCCTTTAATGCAGTTTCTGCAAGTCCTCTCCTCTTCCTCTGTAAGACATTGGCACATTGCACTGTCCAGATTTACCTTGCTCAGCATCCTAAGTTCGATGTGGCTTTAAAAAAGGTTCACCAAAGCTGCAGCGAGACTCAGGAGTAGTTTTACTTGGTGGACCTTTGAGCAACTTCACACACATTGGATCAATCCGGTGCAAAAGAGACAGTGCTTCCTCAATCTATATTGTCTGTGTTTGGATATTACTTAAGCAGCTGTAAATATTAGGAGCTTAATTTTTTGGTCTCAAATTCTGTGAAGAAATCACAATTTAATTGTAACACCTGCTAGGAAAAGCTTCCCTTTCCCTTTTTTTTCCTAGAGTTGGTAAGATTTTTGAAGTTCATTGTTTACAGCTTTTCTTCTGGTCTTAGAGTTCGTACTAAAAGTGATATTTTACCCCAGAACTGGTCTGAAAGCCCATGTAGTGTTCAGATGTGGAGTGGCTCTCAGTAATACACTCCGAGCTTTTTTGGCCTGGCTTAAATTTCAGACTGTTCTTTGAAACATAGCCTGAGTAGCCTGTGATTTTTAGAAATCAAGCCAGAAGCCCACTTTTCAGTTATTGGAAGTTTTTTTTTTCACTTTTTTTGGTGAAATTGGGCCTTTCTGCTTGTATTGAACAAATACACACTGAACTTTAAATATGTACATAAATATGTATAAAATTAGCATTATTATGTGTTAGTGGGCTATAGTGAATCCCCATTTCTCTATTTCTTAGAGTTGCTTCAGTTATTCTTCATGACAGTGGTGTTTATTCTTACTTGACTCTTCTGTTTGCATGAAATGAGGCAATACTTGAGTGTTCTGATTGCTGTTTTGAATTAATCTTCGCATAGGTTTACTTCCTTGCATTTTTTTACTGCCTCTTCCCATGTAACATGGCAACAGTTCCTTCCATGTAACTTTTTGTTTTCTTCTGAACTTTTACTTAGCTTTAATTGTGAATAATCTAAAATATGAAGAATTCTTGGTAGTGGGAAGCGCAGATTCTTTTCATGGGCAGTAGTGCCTGCATTTTCACATCAGTAATGTATAGATTTGTAACTTAAACACTAAGCAGCTCTCATGAGGGACGCAGTGTCACGCACCTCCCGGTTGTATAGCTGCTGCCTTCTACATTTCAAAGCATTTTGAGAGTAAAATCCAAATCTAGTCGCTCTTCTGTGTCCTGTAGTGCAGCATGATTCATGTTGGTTCAGCCTTTTCATGGAATAGGGTAAGAGAATTAATAGGGAAAGGCGATATGCTTAATGGTAAAAGTAGGATAATAAATGGCAAGATGCAGTGGTGGGTGGCTTGCAGCACTTGGTGTTCTCTCTTCTAATAGCAGTGCCAATTTATGTTCAAGATGTTGGTACGGACATCTGCATACCCTGCTGCTCGCTTCCAGAGACGTGTTTACTGGCTCAGGTCACAATGTGCTCGCTCACGTCTCAGCCAACGTGTAGTTAGGTGAGCTGTGCCTGCAGCCAAAACTCCCCAGCTACTCCACTGAGAGGTAAGCCCTGTAGACCTTACTGACCACGTAATTTTCTTGTTCATCACTTGCATTGTGCAGCTGGTCTGAGGAAGAGGTGTTTTGTGAAGGGGAGGTTGGCTGCAGTGCAAGTACTTTTTCTGCCGTACCGCTTTGGCGCGGGGTTTTTATTGCTGTCCATGTGCAGTGCCGGCGCCAGTGCTGATCCGGTGCCTGTGGTCCGAGTTTTTAGTTGTCTTTGTTGCTACACACCTACCAGCGGCACTTAGCACCGTAACAGTCATTTATGGAAGTGATGATACTCACGAGAAAGGTGGTGATAACTCTTTACTTGCAGGGTTTTATCCCTCTGCAGGGTGCTTTGGAAAGGAGCCTTTGCTGCTGGCGTGTTTTGTCATCTGTTGCTGTGAGGCAGTCATCCCTGTGCGGTCAGAAATCTTGTGGTTCGTGCTGTTGTGGTAATGACAGGACAGCTAGCTCTCTGCAGATTCCTCTTGAGAACCAGCTCAAGCCTTCTAGGTAATAAGTATCACGTAGCCTTTCTTCTTCGGGCTGATGTGGAGACTACAAAAGCTCTTTGGCCCTCGCTGTCTTAACAGCAGCTTGGAGACCCAACGGTGAATTCCAGACTCAACCCAGGATGTAGGCAATCCTTCTTCAAGAGCTTGATGATGTTTTTACCCCCGATGAGTTGTAGCAGAGACGAGAGAGAGAGAAAACGCCTCAAAGATCCAGGGAGCCTGGTGCCATGGCCAAGCTGTTGTTTTGTCTTTGCTTATCAAACCCTCTTAACTTCATAATGAATGAAATATTAAGCCCTCTCTACCCTGATGATGTAAGTTCATTTGCTTCTGCTTTTCCTGTGCCACAGTCAGGAGGTGTTTTCTTTTTTCTCTTTGAAGAAAGCCTGTGAAGAACAAGGGTTGGGATTTTAAGTGCCCCTGGTGTAAATGCCTAATGCTTCAGGAGAAATCCCTACGTACGTAACAAATGTGTATTTTCTTTTTTCTGCCCCATTTGTGCTGCAGGAGAATTATGTATTCAGAGGGAACAGAAACTCCTTGGTTTATGGGATTAAGATAAACCCACTTACTCTCCAATAACATTTACAAGGATAAAAATGCAATTTTTAGCCAGGGAACTGAACACAGTGTACACTATCAAATGGGAAAAAGCCCTGTTCCTAGTAGATTATCCTTAGCACTTCCAATGTACAGTTAATGTTCCAACTGCTAATCCAGATGAATTGCATCTTTTTTACTGTGCATCTTTGTACCAGCGAACATATTCTGGCATGGTCAAGGCTTGGCTATACCTCTACATCTTGGACTGTTTTCTATGTGTACTTTTCTCTCTAAATGCCTTTTTTATCCATTTATGCATTTCTTCAGCTGCCAAATGGCTCTCCTGCTGTGGCAGATGCTTTGGCTTCGTGCTTGGTCTTTATCCCTTGCATGTCCAGATTTTATTGGTTATACAGCTTTTGTCAGCTACTCGCTGCTGTTGCTCTAGTGAGCTTTTAGGAAAGTGTGAGAAACTTCTCTTCTGTCTGTGTGAACTAAGGAGGTCGTGTTCTGCACCATCTGGCTTTTGATTGTGAAACCCAAGGTTAGAGGCAGTTATCTTGGAGACTTTGAGGGCACCCGTACGAAATACGGTAGCGAGCGTTATGTATATTGGTATTAGGTTTGGTATCATAAATATGCACATGAGCCCTGGGTCTCCTCATCATTGACTCTCCAATGCTTGTAACAGTCTGTAAAACAGCAATTCCTTCCTCGCCCCCTCTACACACACGCCTACCTGCTCGGTCTGTACACGGTTTATTGAGATATCTCCTGGAAGGAGGTCACAGATGAGGACTTTTACTGACTGCACTGTTCAGTAATCACCAGAAGTTTCCTACAGCAAGAAGCTTTAATGTGGTTGCCAGTATTGTATTAAACATGTTCCTTTTCAGAGGGTCCTCCGGGTTGCCCACCCACTCAGCCGTATTTAGTCATCTAGCATAATGTTATTTCTCTATACATCCACATCTGTTTTCACTCTGTTGCCAATTGAAATGCTGCTGTATATTCTCTGTGTATTGTGGCTACTTTCCCAGCATATTGAAAATTTACGCAGTGTAAGGGGATTTTACAAGTTCTCGAAAAACATGAAGTATTTTCCCACAGTAGCCACACCGTATAATGTCTAAATGAAATGACATCTATTCGCAGAATTAAAATGTGCACCTGCATATGACTTACTGCTTTATAGTGCCTTCACATAGATATACACAAGACTTCAGTTTCTTTTATTTGAAGCCAGCATTTTCTTATGTAGCTTATTAAGTAGCTTCCTATAGGGAACTTCTAAGAATTAAGCCAGCTAGCATCCTGAGTGTCTGGTGAGCGTGCTCTCACTGACTGCTCTTTTGTTCGGGAAACCGTTACAAGCAAAATTTCGGATTTGTGGTGTTCTTAATGTATTCTGTAGCTATCGGTAATCACCGTCGCAGGAAGCCGAAGCGTGAAAGCGCTCAAACACTCGGCAGCTAGAGTAATCCGGCGTGTGTTACGTACAACTGTGAAGCGTGAAAGTGCTCAAACACTCGGCAGTAGAGTAATCCGGCGTGTGTTACGTACAACTGCTCATTTCAGACCTCTCCAAGAACGTTGCTTTAGGGAAACTCTTCCTCAAGACTTCTTAGAATTGAATGGCTCAACGTATATGGTTTCTGGAAACTATTTAAATTGGCTGACTCAAATCTGTGATGCTTTATCTCCTGTGTCTTCAGTGTTAGCATTGCATTCTTAAATATCTTGCCTTCAGATCTGTAATTCTGTCGGTTCACGCTGTTAATGTCTACAGTCCTCTCCTATTTCCGAGGGTCACCTCTGTAGCAGCAAAGGAGTTAGAGCTGCACTTCTGCCCTCCTAGCTCAGATGGAAAATCTTCGGATAAAGCTTGAGAATTGCCTGTCCTTCCCCCTCAAAACCTCCATCCCGTGCTGAGCAAGGAGCATAACGAGCAGTCTGCTACCTTCAAGGCAGGAGTCCAAGGCTGCGGCGTCAGATTGGAACATTTTAAGCCCAGTTCCCAGTCTGACCATGAGCAGCGCACTAGCTGGCCAGAAAAGCTGGTCCCAAACTGACAGATGACTTGCTGTCGTAATTTCATTAGCTTCCCCACCAAACTGGAAGAGAACGAGAGGGGGTGAATAACTTGTCGGCGTGCTGCTCTAGAAGCATCTCTTAGTACTTATGATTTAGACAAATTCCTGTGGCACATCAGGTTTGTATTATGACTATGTATAATTCTCTCCAAATTGCATAATGGGAGACAATTGAAGGAGCAAATGCCTGGAAAACAAAGTGGTAGGTTGGTTTTTCCTTGGAGCAGACGTATTTTCCTAGAATCAGGACGTCATAGCTGTACTGCGCTTTTGTCTTTAATAAGCGTTTCTGTTGTTTTCCAGTCTTGGAGGAGCTGCAGAGGTGCCTGCTATTGCTTTGAAAGTTTGGGGTTGGTTATAAATATGCTTTTCCAAACAAACTGGCAGTCGGTCAGCTTCTCCCTAGGTTTCCATGGAGTATTTGGGGGGGGGGAATCCGTGGGAAATAGCTAAATAAATGGGCTGTTCTGGTGCCTATACTGGAAGACAGAAAGCATCCCAGCCTGTCTAGGTACTGCAGGTGTTGGCCTGGAGTTCTATGCGTGGATTCTTTTACAATTGTCGTTAGGAACTTGCTGTCCAAAGTCCCACCTTTCTCTGAAACAAACACTGGTTGTCTAAAAGTAATAAAGCTGATGAAAACGTGGAAATCATCCTGGTTCTGCTATGAAATAGTTTGTAGCTTTTGAAGGTGTGTCAGGTCTCTCTCCTTAAAAATATCTTTCAGAATGAAAATGTGGAGAATTCCACTTCCACAGATTTTTTTTTTTTTTAGGGGGGGAAGTAAGTTTGGATCAGTTTTATTTTCATCAGGCTTGAAGGTGCTTAGAGGAGGCTTTCATATCTCAAAATCCCTTTCTGAGATGTGTAGCAACAGTTAATAGGTGAAATGACTGGCTAGGGAAAGGAAAGGCCCAGGAGCTCCCATAACCTCCCTGTTGGACTCCCAGCTCTATAACCTGTTAGGTGAGGCCGAACATGGCACCGTATGAGCTCCTGCTTTAATCTTTGCTGCTTACGTCAGATAGTTGTGTAAATGTGGGGGAAACTGCGCTGTTATGGAATGTGTCTCTCTAGTGGCACCTCTGGAAATCCTCGTTAAGGTTCCTTGACCATAATTTTCACCACTAAACACAGCTTTTGTCATAACAAATTATAAAAGTCCTAATTCAGTTCATTGTGTGTTGTGTGTGGGGTTTTTTTTTAATTCGGGGGCAGAAAAGACACATTTAAGTGTTACGTGCCTCAGATAGAAGGAT